TTCAATAATGATCTTAAACCATAGAAGCAGCGATTGGCTGCGATTATACTTTTTCTGATTTCAGGATTGATCTCATTTTGATAGTTTATTTCTGATCCTAGATAAGTAAAATTTTTTACAGATTCAAATTTAAAATAATCTATTTCAAACAATTTAGGGATGGTTTCTATTCTACCACAATACATATATTTTGTTTTCTCCACGTTCACTCCTATGTTCATTTTTCTAGCTGATTTTTCCAGTGACAAAAAATTTTCACTCAGTGCAGTCCTAGATCTTGCGATCTACATCATCGGCGTATGCCAAAATCTGCACTTATTTATTAAATATAGTACCTGTAGTATTTATGCCAGCATCTCTAATAACTTTTTCTAAGGCTATGTTAAACAGAAGAGATGCTAATGCATCTCCCTGTCTAACTCCCATTATAAATTTCAAAAGAAGTCGATATTTCCCCCTGAATTCGTACCTTTGAAATGATTTCAGTGAGTGTGAGCATTACAAGTCTGATTAATTTTGATGGAATATTAAAATCAAATAGGGTCTTCAATAGCTCAGTCCTATTTATACTGTCATATGCCGCCTTAAAATCCACAAATAAATTATGGGTCTTTATTCCAGATTCTCTACATTTCTCCAAAGTTTGTCGTAAGGTGAAGATTTGGTCAACTGTGAACCTTCTTTCGCGGAAGCCACACTGATAATCACCAATGACGCTATCTACAATGGGAGACAGCCGTTCAAATAGGATATTTGAGAAGACCTTATAGGCAAGGCATAACAGACTTATTCCTCTATAATTGTGACAGTCCAATACATCCCCTTTTTTATGTATTGGACATAGAATACTCAACTTCCATTCAGATAGAATAATTTTCCAGATGTTGTTTACAATAGCGTTCCCACCGTATTTTAAAATTTCAACTGAGATATAATCTGGTCCTGCCGCTTTATTACATTTCAACTTGTTGATAGCGTGTTGTACTTCTTTAAGGTTGGAGTGTCAACCAGTGTATCATTAATATTGTTGACTGTCATAAAATTTAATTCACTTGACTCGTTGGAGTTAAGTAAATGGTCAAAGTGTTCAACCCATCTATCCATAATTTTATTTCTCTCATTAACAATAGTTTCATTTTTATCTTTACAAAGAGAAATCCTAGGTTTAAATTCTCTTCTTCTCTCATTGATGACTCTATAAAAAGCTTTGCTTTCATGTTTGGTCCTGAGAGATTCGACTTCTTTGAATTGGTTCTCCCTGTAAGCTTTCTTTTTTCCTTTATGTATTTTATTTTCCTCTCTGTGTGCGCTCCTGTATTCCTCAATTGATCCTCTCGTAAATTTTCTGTTAAGCATATTTTTATAAGCTTTATTTCTTCTTTTATTGACCATTCTACACTCTTCATCAAACCAGTCAATTCTTATTGATCTTTTTTTCCTGCCCAGCAGCTCTTGCACTGTTGAAAGTATAGAATCTTTTACTAGTTTGACATTCCCTATTTAATTCATCACAATCCTCTTTCGCATTAAGCTTTGTTGAGAGTTGAGTTTGAAATTCCTTGCGAACCTTAGGATTGTTCAACTTTTCAAAATTAAATTTTATAGAATTGACCTTTCTTGCCTTCCTCACCATTGAGATCATTTCCTTTAACTTACAGATCACTAAATAATGATCAGAATCTAGGTTTGCTCCTCTGTGAGTTTTTACGTCTAGAAGACTTGTTTGATACCTAGAGCTAATTAGTATATGGTCAATCTGATTTCCGTATGATCCATCAGGGGATCTCCAAGTTGTTTTATGAATGTTCTTATGTTGAAAAAAAGTGCTTCCAATTATCATATCATGAGAGGCAGCGAAACTAATAAGCCTGACTCCATTACCATTTGAGACATCGTGTAAACTATAGTTTCCCGAAACGGGTCTAAATTCTTCCTCACGACCAACTTTAAAGTTGAAATCACCCATGATGATCTTCACGTCATGTCTAGGGCATAGGCCCCAGAGGCGATCTAACTCATCATAAAAATTATCTTTCTCCTCATCATCTCCTTCTTCAATCGGTGCATATACATTAATGATAGAATAGTTGGCAAAACTTCCTTTTAAGTGCAATAGACAGAATCTAGGGGAGATAGCTTGGAAATCAATAACCAAATAACTGAGTTTGTTTTAAATTTAAGATGAAGTCAGTTCCATATAAATATTTTGTTTTGTGACAACTCTAAAAAAGCATGTGTCGTCTTCTCTTTTCCAAGACTCCACTGCCAGTCCAGCGCATTTCCTGTATGGCCAACAAACCCAATCTATATGAGTCCATTTGCTCGATCAGCAATTGCAGATTTTTACTCTGATAGAGAGTGCTTATATTCCAGCATCCAAATCTCATTTCCTTTGATCGTTTTCTGGTCAAATTCCGTGAAGGCAGCCCGGCATTTACTTCTTTGGATTTCGAAACAGGTTGGTTTTCACGGGGTGGGATTGTTAGCCCTACGCCCAACCCCCTACCAGGAGGACCAGTCCCCAGATATAATCCCCAGGAGCACTGGGTACCTATTTTAGTCACCTCTTACGACATGCATGAGCTACATTGGGACTATTCTTTCACACCCAGTCACCACACGGGTGTTAGAGTGACATTAATAATTATATTACTTTTATAAACGTTCATTTTGTTATTTTTTGATGCAGTTCGCTTATTTTTCGAGGTGTATTTCTTTTTTACAAATACTTTTGCTTTGTTTTCTATAATAAATATTTTTATAAAATAAATATTTTTTATATAATGAATAGTATTCGCGATCGCAACGAACTATAGGGGACGTTGTTGTATGAGACTAATACCTGCGATTTCTATATAAACAGCCATTCATTTACTCTAGAGACATCTTTAATGTAGCGTGTAGCATTGCAACGTTCCTTTTTTTATCGTGGCTAATTAAATTTAAAAAGAAAAATGTTTAATATCCTTTCTTATGCAAACGAAAACAAAATGGTATCTCTTTTTTTTAGAGAAGGAACATCCAAAACACATCGGAAAACATCAATAAAAAATTATCCAAGTTACTTGAAATAGTGCCATTTGTGCTGAATCTTAATTAATTTTAATCGTTTTCTTGGTAAGTATTTTTTAGTTTTGAAAGAATAAGTTCAACTAGAATTCAGCTATTCTGTTTTTAGCTACATATTCAAATTCATATCAATTATAAAATTTTGCTGT